TTAATAAATATATATATTGTAAAATGTGTTGAATGAGAGATACATTACTCATTGTCATGTAAAATGCCTCCAACGATTTGGGTTTGTTTATACTTTCCTTATTTCTCTCTTATTTCCTGCTATTATTCCAACAAGTTGAGTATTAACTATACATGATATATTAAATAAATCTGGGGCATCCAACTGTAAAAGCATGTTATGGGAGCTCTTACAAAATTTGATGCATGATATATATATATATATATTTATGGAAAAAAGAGCTGCTTAAATTTTACAAAGATTTAAATTTTTAATCTTCATTTAACTTAGTAAATACTAATTCACCTAAACTCTTATTGGATGTTACATGGTAATTCATCTCCTTTATCTCGTATTAAATATAGTCAAAACTCTACGTTAAACCCCTAAATTTACTTTAAATTCTTGATTAAATTCTTATATTTTTATTAAAGTAAATAAACTCTTAAATTTGGTAATTTGGGTAATATAATTATTTTTATAGTGAACTTAATGCTTGTTTAGGCCTTATTTGCATAGACAAGGTCAATACCCGTCACGTCAATAGTGACATGTTAATACTTTACCTACACAAGCAGATTACAAATGAGCATTAACTCTTGCTATAAAAAAAGAGAGTTAAATTGCTTAGATAACCAAGTTTAGGAGTTTATTTGTTTTAATAAAAGTTTGAGGGTTTAATCAAGAATTTTAGGTAAATTTGGGGTTTTAACACAGGGTTTTATTGATTTATGTGGTCAGTTGTCTTTTGTATTTTAGGTGTTTCCGCCCCCAAATTGTTTATTTTGTTGTGTTGGTCATGTGGAGGAGCATGTTTTTCAACAGGCTTTCGACGGCTGTATTCTCATACCTTTACAAGTAATATATATTCTTTTATAACGAATTTAATGTATGTTTAGATCTTATTTGTATGAAGAAAGTCAATACTCATCATGTCAATAATGATATCAATAATTTGTCTACATAACCAGACCACAAATGAGCATTAAGTTTGCTATAAAAAATAGAGTTAAATCGCCTAAATTACCAAGTTTAGAAGTTTATTTGTTTTAATAAAAGTTTAAGGGCTTAATCAAGAATTTTAGATAAGTTTGGGGTTTTAACAAAGGGTTTTACCTATTTATGTAGTCAGTAATCCTTTGTATTTTAGGTGTTCTTTTAGGTGTTCTCGCCCTCAAATTGTTTATTTTGTTGTGTTGGTCATGTGAAGGAGCATCTTTTTCAGCAGGCTTTCTAAGGTGTACCATTGTACCTAAGTCAATAAAATTTTAATTTTTT